AAAAAAATCTATAAAAAAACATATAATAAACAATAAAATATTGAGCAAAAAACACATAATAAAATTTAGTAAATTATATGAGTAAATTATCTACAACTCATATTTATAAAAATGATTAATGATTTGTGTTGAAAAGAAGAAGGTTTTCGTGTGAGTTTGATGCCAAAATATTTGAGGTGCTAAAGATACAATTGAAAGCTATCAGTGAATTTTATAGAAAAAAATTAAAAAAAAATGACTCAACATTTTAACAAAAATAAATAAAAAAAACTCTTCATTTGAATCAATCTATCCAATAATTAATAAGAACAAATAAATGCAACTACAGTGGAGAAGAAAACTAACTAAGAAGCAGAATTTAAATTTAGTTTTAAAGTTTGTTATATTAAATGACCTTAATTTTTTTTAAATAATAAATCATTTTCTTTAACTTTTTGTAAAGTATTTACAATAATCAAATAAATATAAATATGATGACTTCAAAGCTACATAATGTAGGTCATGTTTTAATGGGAACTAAGCTAAAACGTTAAAAAGCTACTAAATTTTTGTCACTCACTGATATGACAGCAATCACATAAATTTACTTTTTTTTGATTAATTGTAGAGGCCTTAAGCTATTGTCTGGGTCGAGCCTAAACTAAATATTTGAAAAATGTTTTGTTTTAGTTTTGAATTTAATTAAACATTTACAAAACTGCCGTTAAATGTGAGAATTATCTGTCTGTCTGTCTGTATGGCTGACAATGTGTATTTGTAATTAATTATCACATGAACTTGACTTTTTATTTTATTTAAATCTTTAACGACTTATTGTTTAATTATTTCAAGGTCATCTTAAGATTTCATTTCAATATTTATTTCTTTCTAACTCTACTGCTCTAGTGATGGTTGGTGAGAATTTCTTTTGCTTTTTTTATAAAAAAAATTTTATTAAATCATCAGCATTTTTTTCTAACATGAATCACAAGTAAAATGTTTTTTAACAAAAACATCTCCAAATCTTCTTCAATATCTACAAAAACAAACAAATTTTTGCTTAAAAAAAAAAGAATTATTTTTAATTTATTTATTCTAGTTAAAAGTACAGCAAATATAAAACTCAAAAGCTAAATTTATCATAAATTTTTATGCAAAATTAATGTGTAGTTTTAAGTCCAAATATTAAAAAAAAACTTTAATGAATTATTGTTCTTTTAATGTTTTAAAATTTAATTGAATTTTTTCATTTATTCCCACAGTTTCCTGTATTATTATTTTATGTTAATTTCTATTTAACTATAATTATTAATAAACATGCGCTGTTTTTTTGTCATGTTTGCAAAATATTCATTTTATTTAGCTTAAGAATAAAGTTATAAATTATGGCTAGTTAAAAATTAGAATGCTCTCTAAAAGTAAAGAAAAACTTTTAAAACATATAATGTTTCAATTGTATAAATAATAATAATGAAATAAGCAGAAAATTTCACATAAAACAAAAGACTTAAGAAACAAACATTTTGTTTATAAATTGATATTAGCGCACAAACAAAAAAATTAAAATCTACACCAATGATTATGTTACAAATTTTGATTATTTTTTATTAATAAAGTATTTAATTTAATTTTTAGCATAATTCAGGAATATTTTAATAATTTGTTGACAAAAAAAAAAGGAATTTTCTAAAAGACAGGTTATAGGGGTGCAAGGTGTTAATATAGTCCTATCCTTATACATTTTGGTAGAGGGATTTAAGTCTAAATCAGATATTTATGCAGAATATCATCGTGATATTAGAGTTTATAACTTAATTTTGAAAATTAAGCCATACGCTGAAGGGGACTTTGTATGGGCCGATCATTACGAAAAGCAGCAGTATCATTAAGACTTATATAAACCTGAGTATTGTCGATTTTTATAGTGATACAAGAACATTTAACATATTTATGAGCTCAAAAGCTATATTGGTAAAGTTGTATGGGCGAAGGACGAAATAATGGCTTCGTCCTTCGTGCCAAATTTCATCAAAATATCTTGAAAATTCCGACCTGTAGAGTGCGAACAAGGTTTACATATACACAGAGGCGGGACATAGCTAAATCGACTTAGTGGGTATAGGACCAATATTTTGGGTTTTACAAACATCAACACAAACGCATTAAACCCTCCCTACTATGGAGGTGAAGAGTATAACTATATTTTAAACGAATCCTCATAATTCGGAAAACAGTTTTAATTAATTTCAAACATAAGTTTGAATTTTGAATAACTTTAAGACACATTAATATCTGGAGATTACATATTAGAAAATTTTCGAAATTTCGATCATAAAATTGCATTTCTGACATCTTTAGCTTATTTACAATGTACATTGTACATACATATGGGGAATTTCGTGTCAAGTGATCCAACTTTAAAAATCGATGTCTTTCCGATTTGGATGAAAGTTGCACCAAGGTCAGTACTATGGGATATTAGACACAAATTTTCAGCTCTAACGGTCAAGAACCGCCGGAGTCAGAGGGGTCACAATTTTCAAGATTATTATATGAAATTTGGCACATGACGAAGGACCCAAGAACGAAGCCTATTGGTTAAAATCGGTCTATTATTTCGTATAGCTCCCGTACAACCGTAACCTCCGAATAGGGCGTTTGAGCTCATAAATATGTTAAATGTTCTTGCAACAGGTGCAACAGCACCTAGAGACGTATTCGGTAGTCCGAAACACGATTCCATTAAATAAGCCGAGGACTTTGTTCTTACTCACAGAGAACACAATGTGGTAAATCTGGTAAGATCAGAGTTTACTCTGAACAGACCTGGGCAAGAATGTAAAATTCAATGGGATCACTTCTATAAGATATCTTTCATCCATCACCATTCAACCCAGCACAGTTCCTATTCTTCAGACACACTCATAGAAAACATCATTCGAATCACTCATTCTAGGTATACGAGCGGGGAAAACCCATATAACCCTACATTCATCCTGTATTATATACATTTATCACCAACTCATTTCCAACGCTTAGTCCCACAGTCACTCCTCTGTGGGGTATCTGTTGTCATTCGGCACAGCACCGAACTTATCCCGAAATATAGATTTCATTGCGCATCAATCAGTCTTTTAACCGCCACTTACTCCTCCCGCAAATTTGGGTTTAAATCACAGCCACTACGAGGATCCCGAAGGATCCTCAACTAACTGACCATCCAGGACAAAGTCCTGCGGGCAACTATCCACACGTAGTACTAAATTATGTGGTGCTCTGTTTCGACGCCATGTCAAATCATTCCAAGGAAAGGTGATATTTTTTTAAATTCAGAAAAAATCGGTTAACCGATCGCGTTTTAAAATCAGCATAATCAAACTTTTTTGTACTATTTTGAACCCGGAAATATGAAATTAAGCATGTAAAGCCCGGATTAAATGAGAACATACAAAAGGGGACTTTTTGGTACTTTTTTAGAACTCTATTGTCAAAAACTTCATTTTTATTGACATGAAATTCAAAAGTGCGAAACAACAAATTAGTCAGGTGACGATATATGTATATTCTGAAGCCTTATTAGATTCTAAGACGATCTAGTCTATACCTCTGACTGTTGAAAACACGATATTTTCACAAAAACTTTTTATTGATGAAGGTTGTTTGTTAGTCAGAATGCAATTCAAACAGTCATAACTGGCTTAAATACAGCGATGGAATTCGGAAATGGGTCCAAACAAATACATACACATTATTATAGATTTTATATACTGATTTTAATGTTTACTTCATATAGAAGGTGCCACTCCCCTAATGCTGGTTAGGGGGCGAATATGACCAAAAAGATACTCGTACAAAATTTGAGCAGTTTAACTGTTCTGCCATTCTAGATATGCAAATTTTGAATATTGAATATGATTATGTTAAACGTTGCAACATTTGAATATTTTCCTTAAAAATGTTGAAGATGTGTATAATAACAAGTGTAAAAAGTATACCGTAATTTAACTATGTGGAGTGTTAAACATTGTTCTGCATATATGATTTAACCTTTAATGCTGTTATTTTTACATAAACCAATGCTGTTAATAACATAATTACCATGATAGCACTCTTAGAAGACTCTTCAAAAAATTTTAACTCTCAATTGACATAAACACAAAAATAAGATTTGAAGAAGCTGCAAAAACTAATAGAAAAAGAAGAAGATGCTATTAATAAATGTTATTGTGGTTTACTTTATTTGCGAGATTGTGTTTGCTTTTGTGTTTGCACTATGTTGTTATTTCCTTTCAAATGCAAAAAAAAACTTAAAAAAACAGAAGAGGTTACAATAAAATAAAAAACATAAAACAACAACAAATTAAACATTTAACATCTATGTAGTTAAACATATTTATGTACTAACACGTTCATAAGTATTTAATATAAAATGATCATTATTTCATATAAGATTTTTGTATAATGATCATTAGAAATAACCAAAAGTAACCACAACCTAGACGATTTTCAGCACCATTAGATTTTGATAAACTTTAATAACTTTATGAATGTAACCTGTAGTCATAATGATGAAGATGGTGATGATGATGTAGATCATCATTATTATGTTAATCATTATTAAAATAACATCTTCAAAACCACCTCACCAATAACAACAACTACTATTTGTTGTATGTTAAATAGCAACAACTAATGTGTTTTATGATTTTGTGTCTATTGTTTTGTTTTTGCCCCTTTTGCTATTTGTTGTTGTTTTTTTGCTGTTTTCATCTTCTATATTCATCATTGTGTTGTTGTTGCTTTTTGTTTCTTCTTCTTTTAGTTTTCTTGTACTATTATTATTGTTGTTATTATTATGTTGTTGCTTCTGCCAACATCAACAACCCATCACATAAAAAAGAAAAATAATCACAAACAAACAACAACTCCAACAACATCAACAGCAATAATAAACAGAAGAAGAAAAAAAAAAAACATTTCTTTGCACAAAACCAGGTTTGAAAAATCACCTAAAGTTGGATGATGTTTTTGCCAAATGATACATTCAAACGCGAATAACGAACGTGTACGGACGTCTTTCAGAAATAAACACCCAAAACACACACATTTCTACTCTCGGGAAATCTATTTCTAAAAATAAATAATATATATTTTTGTTATAAAGTATGCAAAGTTTTATTGTAAATAACAATTAAAAGAAATTATTAAGTGAAAAATGAAAAAAATCTAATAAATATTTGAAAAAATATTGAATAAAGAACAAAAAATTTTGAAAATTTTTAAAAAATTTTAGAAACTTAAAAATTGTGTTGAAAAATATTTTAAGAATTTTTTTTGTAAAATAAAAATTTATTTATGGGCCAGTAAAAAAGATTTTTAAAAAAAAAGTTGTGTCTGTTGAATACAAAACTGTGAAATTTTTAACAAAAGTTTTAAATTTTTAAAATTATTAAAAAAAATATTAACAATGTAAGTGTCAGTTACAAATTTTATTCAAAATTTAACAACTTTCTTAAAAATTTGTTCATAAATAAAATTTCTTAAATTTCTTAAAATTTTACTTAAATAAGTGTTTCAAAACTAAGATAAAAGATTTTTTTCAAAAATATTGAAATATAATATTGAAAATTCTTAAAAATTTTAAAAAAATATTCTTTTTAACATAAAAATCTGAAATTGCAAGTTGCCAAACTTTAACTAACGGACTCTTATAAAAAGTCCAAATTTTAACTCCTCCCTTTTCTATGTATGATTAAATGATTTGCTTTAGTGACCTTTTGATACCTTTAAGTTGACTCAAAATTATCGGTTCTCTCGCATAAAAACATTCTATCCAAGTCAAACTTTAAAAACTTTAACACCCTATCCGGAGATATACAAATATCTCCTGCAAAATAGGTAAATCCTTGTGGTGATTGTTAAATTTTAAAAGAAAATTTCAATTTTCACATGCCTGCAAATCACTTTAAAATTTCATTTATATCTCATCAGACAGCTTAAGGTTAATATTTATTCTAAAGATATATAATTTGGGTATGAAATTAGGACATTTTGCCTTGATATATCTAATTTATTGTTCTAAAACTAACTATTAGTCTAATTTAATATAAATATAAACATAAAAACATTCTATCCAAGTCAAACTTTAAAAACTTTAACACCCTATCCGGAGATATACAAATATCTCCTGCAAAATAGGTAAATCCTTGTGGTGATTGTTAAATTTTAAAAGAAAATTTCAATTTTCACATGCCTGCAAATCACTTTAAAATTTCATTTATATCTCATCAGACAGCTTAAGGTTAATATTTATTCTAAAGATATATAATTTGGGTATGAAATTAGGACATTTTGCCTTGATATATCTAATTTATTGTTCTAAAACTAACTATTAGTCTAATTTAATATAAATATTTCACAATTTCAAAGAAATAATGTTTTTTTTGAAATAGTTGTAAGTTATCAAATATCACCCTTTCCGGTGATATACAAAGTCTTTCAGCGAATGTGGTAACTAACTCCTAGTGGTTGTTGTTTAAAATGTAAAACAAATTTTTCACATACTTGCAAGTCACTTTAACTTTTCTTTTATAACTCAACTGAAAGCATTAATGCATTAATGTCGAACTAAATTTCGACATTTTGCATTGATATATCAAAATTCTTTCTTCTTAAATTTTATGCAATATACCTTATAGTATAATTTAATTTAGCGAACATATCCCGGATATAGTATAAACAGAGCTGAGTGGTTGATGGGAATTGAACCCATGACCCTTAGACTGATGGACTAGTACAGTAGCAACAAAATTTGCAGACTCAAAAAAGTACTTAAAAAAACACAGTTAAAATCTTGAGTGTTTGATTTTAAATTTTCATCTTTTTTTTAAATATACATATTTGGAAATGGTGTAAACATAAACAAATTGAAACTTTTCCTTACAGCCAATGATTCACGACAGTCTAATTGATCCTAAATTGTTTCATAATATACTGAAAACATTGTTGCAAACTTTTTGTTTAATAACAAATACAAATAAGAATGTATGGCAAACAATCCCACCTATACCCTACACCGCAATGAACCTTTTTGCAAATGCAAACCCTCTATGATCCGATAATATCCTTTCATATGTATCATGCAAGTTGTGAGTATGGAATTTCCACATAACGGCTCTAAAATCATTTGAAATCTCAACAAAAGCATATAATAACTCTACTAAATTAACTTAAAAATCAAACCAAATCTATAAAACCCATTAATAAACCCCATTAAAATTGTTAATAAAATAATTGATTAATTAATAAACTATTCAATAGAAATACTTAAAGCATTTCAAACACCATAAATTTACAAACCAAAACGAGATCATGCATAATATTGAAAAAAGATATTGAAAATAAAACTAATTGGTATTTGACCTATAGTCCAAAGAGAAATGAAAATATTTGCAGTTAATGTATGCAAGATTTATACCCAACAGTACTAAAGTGGTGCATGCTACCTTTTTAAAATTTATTGTAATCTATTCAAAAATAATTAAATTAGCTTATTATACGGAATATAGACTGTCATATAGCCTACTCTACACACTATAATAAAGTCAAGACTATAGTAAAGACTAATCTGTATTCAAGACCTTAGACTGTCCACACTAGACCGATCTAAAGTTAATGCTGTAGAGTGATCTACAGTCAAGACCTGTAGTCTGATCTACAGTGAAGATTATATACTGTTCTATAGTCAAGATTATACACTGATCTAGAGTCAAGACTATAGACTGATCTATAGTAAAGAATATAGACTGACCTACAGTCAAGACTATAGACTGATCTATATTAGGATTATACACTGATCTATAGTCAAAACTATAGACTGATCTATGTTAAGACTACAGACTGATCTATAGTCTTGACTATAGACTGATCTATAGTCAAGAATATAGACTGATTTATAGTCAAAACTATAGACAGATATACGCAAAACTATAGACTAATCTATAGTCAAAACTTTGGACTGATCTATAGTCAAGACTATAGACTGATTTATTGTCAAAACTATAGACTGATTTATAGTCAAAACTATAGACTGATCTATAGTCAAGACTGTAGACTGATCTTTAGTCAAAACTATAAACTGATCTATAGTCAAGACTATAAACAGATCTATAGTAAATACTATGGACTGATCTATATTCAAGACTATAAACTGATCTATAGTAAAAACTATGGACTGATCTATAGTCAAGACTTTAGACAGATCTACAATCAGCACTATAGACTGATCTATAGTAAAGTTTACTATAGTAAAGTATGCTGATCTAGAGTCGAGACTATAGACTGATCTATAGTCAAGAATATAGACTAATCTACAGTCAAGTCTATAGACAGATATGCAGTGAAGACTATAGACTGTTCTAAAGTCAAGACTATACACTGATCTATACTCAAAACTATAGACTGATATATAGTCAAAACTATAGACTGATCTATAGTCAAGACTATAGACTGATGTATAGACAAGTTTATTTACTGACATCTAAAATAAAGATTATACACTGATCTATTGGTAAGACTATACACGATCTATAGTCAAGACTATAAACTGATCTACAGTCTGCACTATAGACCGATCTATAGCCAACATATGGACTGATCTATAGACAAGTTTATACACTGATATATAATCAAGAATATACACTGATCTATTGGCAAAACTATACACCCATGTATAGTCAAGACTATAAACTGATCTACAGTCGGCACTATAGACCGATCTATAGTCAGCATTATAGACTGATTTATGTATAGTCATGGCTGAGCTGTGGTTAAGACTGTTATGGGCAGGCTTTTAAAAAAACTTAAAAGAAAAAACTTTTAAAAATAAATCACCACATTAATACTGATATTATTCCAATCCAAAGTAGAGCACTTGACAGTAGACCTAGACAGGAAATAATCATTATCACACATTGACAAAATTACATTTCAATTAAATGTAAAACTAACAAATGAAATAATGCGGGAAATTATTTCCGTTTTAATAAAAAACCTTTTTATAATCTTTATTTCTGGCCCATAAATAAATGATAACATAAACCAAACATTAAATAAACAAAATGTTGCAACATTTTGAAAAAAAATTATATATGAAAAAAAGAAAACAATTAACAATAATTTTCTTTAAAAAAAAAACTAATTACTATTAGATTTTTTATTTTTTCACCTTTTTTTAGATCCTCAAAAGTATATAGAAAAACAAATAGAAACGAGAGTAGTTACAACGAAGTAATAAAGTGCAAACATTTTTGTTTCTTTATTAAGAAATAAAAAAAAAAAAACTAAGAAACAAAAATTTATAAGAAAAATATTTCAAAACGTTCACTACATGAACCTCAAAAAAAAAAGAATACAAAAAGTAATAATAATCTAAAGTAACAGAAATTTTTGAAAAAAAATCAACCTAAAAGAAATATAAAATCACGAAATTTAGTTTTTTCCCTTCTTTTTTTATTTATTATTCTCAAACAAAACTATAATATAAAATTTTTGAAAAAAGCAACAAATAAAAAAGTATTTTGAACACAAAACTTTAACTACAAATCATCATCAGAGCTCCATCGTCATCATAATAATTATCAACAACAACAACTGCTCTACTCAGCATCATAAAAATTCAACTAGAAGACATCTAAACTCAAGTACTTGAAGTTATAAAAAAAGATCAAAATATTTGTATTTGTATAATATTTGGGCAATATGCGGCTTTATAATAGTGAGTATACAAGTAAAATTACTTAAAAATATTACAAATTATTAGAGGAGGGGTTTTAAAAATACATATTATTACAACTATTAGCTATTAGTATTAGTGTGATAATAAAAATCTTTGCTGTACACCATTTCCCATTTAATTTATTTTTATGCTTTTCTATGATCACTATCAAGTTTATTTGAAATTATTTTAAATACTATTTGAAGTTTCAAAATTAATCAGAAATTTTGGAAATGGTGTGGTAATAATTTTTATTACAAAATTTATATAAATTTTTAATGATCCTCAAATAAATTTATAAAGTTACTGTCATCAGCCATTCACTAATTTGAATATCGATATTAAATTACAAAAATTATTTTAATGTAGAATGACAACAGATTGATCCATAGTCATGACTATAGATTGATATATAGTTAAGGCTATAGATTGATCTATAATCAAGACTATAGATTGATCTACAGCCAAGACTATAGATTGATCTATAGTCAAGACTATACATTGATCAATAGTCAAAATTATACATTGATCTATGGTCAGGATTATACATTGATCTATAGTCAAGAGTATAGATTGATCTATAATCAAGACTATAGATTGATTTATAGTCAAGACTATAGATTAATCTGTAGTCAAGACTAGGAATTTGCCTATGGTCAGGAATATGGATTGATCTATGGTAAAGACTATAGTGATCTATAGTCTTGATTATATACTGATCTATAGTCAAGACTATAGACTGATCTATAGTCAAGACTATAGACTGATCAAGACGATGGACTGTTTTATAGTCAAAACTATAGACTGATCCAAAGTCAAGACTATAGACTGATCTATAGTCAAGACTATAGACTGATCTGTAATCAAGATCATGGACAGATCTATAGTCAAGTCTATAGACTGATCTAAAATCATGACTATGGACTGATCCATAGTCATGACTATAGACTGATCTATAGTCGAAACTATAGACTAATCTTTAATCAACACTGTACAGTAGTCAAGGCTATATACTGACCTAGAGTCAAGACTATATACTGATCAAGACTATAGAATGATCTACAGTCGAGACTATAGATTTATCTATAGTCGAGACTGATCTATAGTCAAGACTATAGACAGATATATAGTAAAGACTATATACTCATCTATAGTCAAGACTGTAGACTGATCTATAGTCAACACTATAGGCTGATCTGTAGTCAAGGCTATATACTGACCTAGAGTCAAGACTATATACTGATCTATAGTCAAGACTATACACTGATCTATAATCAAGACTATATTCTAATCTATAATCAAGACTATAGTCTGATCTATAACCAAGACTTTGGTCTGATATATAGTCAAGATTATAGTCCGATCTATAGTCAAGACTATAGACTGGGCTATAGTCAAGATTATAGCCAAGACTGTAAAAGTTCGGATGATTCTCTTTCGACTACAACTAGTCATAATTTTGGTACTTAAGCCTATTACTCAATAAAGTTCTCTAGTGACCCTTAAAAAAAAGCCCATCAACAACAAAACTTTAAACTAAGCACCCACGAAACTAGGACCTACGAAAATCACTCATGCCGGGTACAATATTCTTCATTCATGTCCCAAATTGTTTAAAACAGAGTCAGGAATAAAAAATATCTGTAGTCGGGAGAGAACACCTTTCAAATTTTAAAACAAAACTAAAATCTACTTAAAAAGTTTAATTGTTTTGAAGAGCTTTTTTTGAAGCATTTTAAAATTAAAAGCTAATTCAAATTAATGATTTCTATTATACAGAAATTCTAAAAAACCAAAACTTCTTCTTCATAAATTCTCAGAATAATTGATTATGAGAACGTAAATGCATGTGAATTGAATAAATTTTGGGTATATGAAAAAAAAACCTGCAATTTTATAAATAAAAAAGTTTTAAAATCATGTTTTTATGCTGATATAAGATATTTTGTTATTTCTAAAAAGTTTTAAAAGTTGTAGTTTTTTCTATTTTTGCATTTGTTTTTCAAGAGAATCTTAAGCTAGCCTTGTATAATGCGTGATTACCAGTTATTAAATAAATTTTAGAAAAAAAATTTATGTTTTAAATAAATTAAATGCGTGTAAAACAAAAGAAATATGACTAAAATTAAAAAAAAAGAAGAGAAGTGCAATCGTGTTAATGGATTTTTTTTTTTTTGATATTTAACATTTATTTTTTTGGGGGAATTTTTTTATCTGACCAATTTTTTGTTTAAGTTCCATGTTTTTTGTTGAAAAAAATGTGTAAATTGTTTTTTTTTTGCACTGTTTACCCCTCTCTAGGCCGTGTTTTTGTGAGATGATTCTTGTTTATTTATTGTCTATATTTAACCTTTCACAATCAAAACATTTTTTATTCATTGATTCATTATTTTATTTATTTTTTTCATTTCAATTGTGTGTATGAACAAGATTTTTTTTTCATGGATCTTTATTTGTTCCTTTTGATATCAAATTTGAGTTTTTTATTTGCTTGTTATTGGTTTTATAAATGTCATGTCCACAATTTTTTAAAAATCAAATATTCCACAAACATAAAAAAGTAGAGTTTATTAGGTTGTTCTTTTTAGTTTCTTTCCAATGTGAAATATTTAATGATCATTTCATCGAAATCGAACATAACCAATACAAAACCCTGGAGAGTCAAAGAATGACATAGGGCAACAAAATTGTAACCCAAAAATCAAAGTATAGGTTTCTAAAACATTGAACAGCGCTGAATTTGAAAGTGGTATCAGAGTTTATTCATCATATCAGTTTTTCGAAATATCGTATTATACAGTTTGAGACGTTATAATAGGGTAAAGTAACCATAATTTTAAAAACCTGAAAGTTCAATACATGGGCTATAAAATAGAAGTTTAACATTTGTTATATTTTCTTACTTTTTCGAGATATCTTAACCTAAAGATTATGACGTTATGTAAAAATTCTGAGTTCAAATTCGGAATGTGAGCAATTCAATCATTTAGAAAAGCTCTCTGGTTCTATATTACATAAAATTCAAAAATACCATTTAAAGAAGAAAAAAGTACCAGAATGTAATTTTACGGATTTTCAGGAATTTGTATATTTAGCCACCATTTGATAGACAAAAAGTACCAGAAAACGATGTGTGTTAGATTTTATGTTTCTTGGTTCAATATTAAAGAAAATTTTAAAAGTATCTCTTAAAGAACAAAAAAATACCAAAAATTTGCTTCATATATGTATGTATATTCCCATTTAATCGGGACTAAGTATGTTCAAATTCGTGTAAATAGTGCTTTTGTGATAACTTTTATTCAATTGTACAAAAAGCATTTTATAAAAAAAGTACTTTTTGAGCCTTCTTTTTTGGTACTTGTACGTTCATCAAACAGTTAGTTAGTTAGTTAGTTCGTTAGTCTAGTTAGTTAGTTAGTAGTTAGTTAGTTAGTTAGTTAGTTAGTTAGTTAGTTAGTAGTTAGTTAGTAGTTAGTTAGTCTAGTTAGTTAGTTTGTTAGTTAGTTAGTTAGTAGTTAGTTAGTTAGTTAGTTAGTTAGTTAGTTAGTTAGTTAGTTAGTTAGTTGTTAGTTAGTTAGTTAGTTAGTTAGTTAGTTAGTTAGTTAGTAGTTAGTTAGTTAGTTAGTTAGTTAGTTAGTTAGTTAGTTAGTTAGTTAGTTAGTTAGTTAGTTAGTTAGTAGTTAGTTAGTTAGTTAGTTAGTTAGTTAGTTAGTAGTTAGTTAGTTAGTTAGTTAGTTAGTTAGTTAGTTAGTTAGTTAGTTAGTTAGTTAGTTAGTTAGTTAGTTAGTTAGTTAGTTAGTTAGTTAGTTAGTTAGTTAGTTAGTTAGTTAGTTAGTTAGTTAGTTAGTTAGTTAGTTAGTTAGTTAGTTAGTAGTCTTAGTTAGTTAGTTAGTTAGTTAGTTAGTTAGTTAGTTAGTAGTTAGTTAGTTAGTTAGTTAGTTAGTTAGTTAGTTAGTTAGTTAGTTAGTTAGTTAGTTAGTTAGTTAGTTAGTTAGTTAGTTAGTTAGTTAGTTAGTTAGTTCGTTAGTTAGTTAGTTAGTTAGTTTAGTTAGTTAGTTAGTTAGTTAGTTAGTTAGTTAGTTAGTTAGTTAGTTAGTTAGTTAGTTAGTTAGTAGTTAGTTAGTAGTTTAGTAGTTAGTTAGTTAGTTAGTTAGTTAGTTAGTTAGTTAGTTAGTTAGTTAGTTAGTTAGTTAGTTAGTTAGTTAGTTAGTTAGTTAGTTAGTTAGTTAGTTAGTTAGTTAGTTAGTTAGTTAGTTAGTTAGTTAGTTAGTTAGTTAGTTAGTTAGTTAGTTAGTTAGTTAGTTAGTTAGTTAGTTAGTAGTTAGTTAGTTAGTTAGTTAGTTAGTTAGTTAGTTAGTTAGTTAGTTAGTTAGTTAGTTAGTAGTTAGTTAGTTAGTAGTTAGTTAGTTAGTAGTTAGTTAGTTAGTTAGTTAGTTAGTTAGTTAGTTAGTTAGTTAGTTAGTTAGTTAGTTAGTTAGTTAGTTAGTTAGTTAGTAGTAGTTAGTTAGTTAGTTAGTTAGTAGTTAGTTAGTTAGTTAGTTAGTTAGTTAGTTAGTAGTTAGTTAGTTAGTTAGTTAGTAGTTAGTTAGTTAGTTAGTTAGTTAGTAGTTAGTTAGTTAGTTAGTTAGTTAGTTAGTTAGTTAGTTAGTTAGTTAGTTAGTTAGTTAGTTAGTTAGTTAGTTAGTTAGTTGTTAGTTAGTTAGTAGTAGTTAGTTAGTTAGTTAGTTCGTTAGTTAGTTAGTTAGTTAGTTAGTTAGTAGTTAGTTAGTTAGTTAGTTAGTAGTAGTAGTTAGTTAGTTAGTTAGTTAGTAGTTAGTTAGTTAGTTAGTTAGTTAGTTAGTTAGTTAGTTAGTTAGTAGTTAGTAGTTAGTTAGTTAGTTAGTTAGTTCTTTAGTTCGTTAGTAGTTAGTTAGTTATTTAGTTAGTTAGTTAGTTAGTTAGTTAGTTAGTAGTTAGTTAGTTAGTTCGTTAGTTAGTTAGTTAGTTAGTTAGTTAGT